ATATATAAGCCAAAAAGGATATTTTTCAATGGGTATGGTTGAAGATTATTGAAAACATGTAGATGAGTCAATATACAAAATTTGAGAAAGATTGGAGGTGATTTGGACGGATTTGGTATCAAAATTCGTAGTTAAAATCGAGCTCAAAAAGTTCTTCTGCGACACATGAGTATCACACATGTATCTCACACACAGGTATATATGGATATACCTGTGATAAACATTTGATACAAATATGATACATATGTGATACACAAATGATACACAGTGTGATTCACATATCATTTTTTCATGTTCATCTTCTACTTCGAATTTTCAATTCAAACCATCTCAAAACTCCACCAAATCATTCCAAAACTGAGATTCAAGATCTTTAAGATGTACCCAATTTATTCTAATAATACCCACAACCTTTATTGGCTACAAATAGTTACTTGGCTAATATTGGTAATATTTGGCTAATATTAATAATATTATATGAATTTGCCAATTTTTATAATAAGCTACTTATAAATAGAAATAGCTGATAGTTTTCCATAAGATTTGTGAATCAGTGATGATTTGTAGAACTAACTAAATTTCTACCTTACTCGCTGGCCACTCAATAAGGTGAATTGAGAGCAAATTTTATAGATTCAACAGAAAGTGAAAGGAAAATAAAGCAAAATGCAGGAGAAATAGGGGGCCTTAGCAGTAAAGAAATGGTGATTCAAACGTGTCACATATAGCTAACCCAAAGGCTAGTCGTAGCACCACATAAAGTAACAATAATGAATTACTACTTACTAATTCCAACATAGTTAAGCCTGCTTAATCTGCTTTTGATAGTCCTTTATATCTTCGAATTGATTGGGCTCCAATTTCACCGAATCAACTATTAGAACGGAAGGCAATGGAACTAACTTGAAAAATATCACTACTAAATTTTCCATACCATGACATTGTATGAATATAAAATATCACTATTGTTTTATGACTGAAAAAGACCTAGATTAACTTCATGCTAGAAATCAGCCATTCATATTTAATTGAAAAAGGAAAAGATAAGATATAAATAATTTAAATTTGAAAATGGAAGAAACATTGTGTACATCAAATGACCAGGCGAAGGAAAAATGAAAATAAATAACGAAGGAATTAATTCATGGGAGTTTTAATAGCTCGCTTGGTTGGTTGCTTGAACTTTCATATTATTGATGATGCTTCATTCTCGGTAAAAAAAATTTGTGTGACCTATAGGTCAAGTGTTTGAGTCGTAGAAGCAGCCATTAATATTAGTACATTCAAATCTCTCTATAACAGCCTCGTTTGGTCCAGATTTGTTTTGTGTTATAGCAAAGTGTTGTTATCGAGAATATATATTATAACATAGCATGAAAATTAGTTCCAAAAGAAACTTGGCTTTTATAGTGAATAGTTGTTATACAGCGATGCTGTTGTAGAGAGGTTTGACTGTATTAGGGTAGGTTGTCTATATTACACCTTTTGGTGTGCAACCCTTTTTCGAACTCTGTGTAAATACAGGATGCATTGTACACCGGATTACCGTTTGATGACGCTTCATTCTCCGCCTTAAATCCTCTCCGCCATTTAAAAAAAAGGAGTCAATTCAGGGGCGGTGCCTATAATTCCAAACGGAAAATCATTCGAAAATAATTGACGCCATCTGTTGAAACACCAATGTCTTACCAGCTTAATATGTCCAACTTTGTGAATGAAAACAATGGGTTAATGTGGGCCCTTAAAATGTATTGGGCCCTGGAAAAGAGAATAATTGGAGTGAGGTTAAGAATGGACAATATCACAAACAGATGGCCTATTCTCCAGAAATGCAAACAAACCAACAAAATATACCAAACTACCTTCGAAAAGTCAATGTCCATTGCCTCAAAAAATTTGATCTCTGGAATTATGCGACGGCAAGATGATAAGGTTAGTCCTTCTAAACTGTCAAATTCACAATTTTTGCTAAATTTTCCAAAAACTTTCAGCACATCAATGTCACTTCCTATTCTAATCTTCCAGACTCATGGTCCATTTCTGTCCCAAATTAGTTCATCAATTACCTCATTTACAATCAACTCCCAAATTTTCTTTTGCACATATTTAGTGTTTACATCAATCAATAAATAAGTAAAAATAATCTTGTACTGTATTATATTTTTATCAGTAAATTCTAGTTAATACATATATATTTTTCCCTGATTTAACGATAATAAATTAATGAGTTTAGAGTAAACACAAAATGTAAGCAAATATTTTCTTTTAACTTCAGCCGCTTCGACTTAGATACAATATATTTGAATGAGGTGATGATATTTTCTTGAGTCGAGGGTCTATCAAAAATATCCCCTTTACTTTCACAAGATAGGGATAAGGTCCGTGCATATATTATTTTTCCCAGACCCTACACTGTGGAAATATACTGACGTATTATTATTGTTGTTGAATAAGGTGATGATATTATCGGAGAAAAAGACATTGCAATTAATGCATTATTACAGGTGAACTATCTTTTCTCAACCGTATGCATAAAAAAGTGTTGTCATAGTAGATATTTTGAGACTGCGAATTATACTTTTCCTTTTAGTCAGCTATTCTCGTGATTATTTGTTTTGGAAGAGACAATACGTATTTATTGGCGTTCAGATAGCAAACTAGTTCTGTTGCTTTTTTATTTTTTTAATCATCATAAACTATGTGTTTTTTAGATTGTGTTTTGAAAAAACTTACTTTTGGTGTTAGAAGAATTGTTTCTTCAAAGCAGCCTGTGGCAGTGTTTTAATTCAGTTAGATAACAAGTTAATAGTAGCAAAACAGTTTACACTAACCTTGTATTAGAGAGAAACTCTTATCCATCACTACAAACAACCAATGAAAAACCCACCCAAATCACCTAACATACCACCGGAATCACCGGACGACACTGTCATGGAAGAAAACGCAACCCAATCCCACTCCTACAAGGAAATGCTACTTGACAAGCAAAATACTGCACAAGCGGATTATTTCGCTGCAGAACTCCAATCCACCCTAACGCAACAAAAAGGTAAGGAAACAATAGGTCCTATAATACTCTCTCACGAGGGCAAAAACAGACTATATGAACCATGGCGTTTCTCAGTTATCATAAAACTCTTTGGGAAAAAAATACCACACAATCTCCTCCGATCTAAATTAATTGATTTATGGAACCCATCCGAACAATTGATCTTGATCGACCTAGGATGGGATTTTTTCATAGTCAAATTTGGTAAAGAGGAGAACCTAGTGAAGGCTATACAAAAAGGACCATGGTTCATATCAGGAAATTTCCTCTCAGTAAGAAGATGGGAACCCAAATTCGTCCCACAAGAAGCGACTCTATCCTTCACTGCAATTTGGGTAAGACTACCACAACGACCCACCAAGTTCTATGACAAGGAAGTCCTAGAAAAAGTGAGCAGGAAACTAGGGAAACTCCTAAAAATTGATACGTGCACTTCAGCCACTCTCAGAGGAAGATATGCAAGGATATGCATACAGGTACCCTTGGAAACACTAGTTGCTACCTCAGTCACAATAGGGGATCATAAACAATTGGTGATCTATGAAGGGGAAAATGTACTATGCACTGGTTGTGGAAGGATAGGGCACATCTTGAAAGGATGCATGCATAGACAAAAACAACAACAACCACAAATGCAAGAAAGTCCAGAGTGTTCAAATACTAAGCAAAACGATGTTTCAGGACATACTCCAAACAATGAGGAAGAAGAAGAATGGAAAGTGGTCTCCTTCCCAAGAAGACGTAAAAAAGAGTACAACACAAAGCAAAATGAAGCAACAGACAAGAATAGAAAAGATAAACAATCAACAAAGCCAGAAGGCATCAAAGTGAAAATGTTCGACGCTACATCCGGTAAGTTCCTTGATACTCAAACTTTCTGATACACCAATAAATCTAACACGTTACGGGAGATGGACCGGATCCAACCCACTACCTCAAAGGGACAACAAATTGGACAATAAAATGCAACCGGGCAGCCCACAGGAGAAAGGCCCAACACAAGTGCCAAACGAAAAGCGGACCCAGGAAATAACCAAATGCACACAAATTACAGACATGGGCCCACGACACAAACAAAAGCAACGATAAACCCTATAGTCAGTAACCCAAACCAAAAGGACACTAACCCACATCCAAAGTCAACCAAACCCAAAAGCCAAGATGAAAATCAAAAAGGGCAGATTGGGCCACCCATCACCTCTGGGAAAATAGACCTCATGGTAGATCACAATGATAACCACTACAACACTACGTCTCCCCTACCAACACCAACTGGAGGAAATCCCTCCATGAAAGACCAAGAGCCAAAGTTGTATAATCATGAAATCTTCAGTGATTTGACAGAACCCATCAACTCAACCGGATATCAAAATAATCCCATGCCCAGTGTATCAGACACAAACCCCAAAACAATAACCATGCCTATCGATCCAACTTCACAACTGCCAGAAACGTTTGATTACCCCAATACCTCACCTTTTATTACCAACCCAAAAACGGATAGGAACAAGAAACCCAAAAATGGAACCAAATCCCAAACCCCCAATCTTTCTAACCTCCATCCCGCCACCACCGGACCACCTACCAGCATCATGGCTGGAGCTGGCACTCCATGGTCAAGCCCTAAGCTACAATTTTCACCTAGGCGACCAACCGATCTCTCTAATCATACAGAACCCAGCCCATCTGGCAAGGGTAACAGCAGAAGCCTTAAACAGGGGCTTGGGGATGCTTGGAGCACAAATGTGGTAGTCAGTCATGGAGCAGACCCACCCAGCCAACATGCGCCACAACAACGATCCATCTATCCAGGACAGGATTCAGCAGATTTTCAACAGTATCCTGTTTTTCCCAGACCCAGCAGTAGAGGATCCCTATGCAATCCCCCAGTTCACAATACTCCAACCGAAGTCACCCCAGAAAACTTCACCTTCAGTGCAGGAGAAGCAGCAGCAATCACCACAAGAGAAGCAACATCAATCGCCTCTGGGGAACATCTCCAAAGGAATTTCAACAGCTCTGGAGCTATTGAGGAACAACGAGGTGCCAGTGGACCACGAAATCGACAACCTAGTGAGAGTGGAATCACTGTAGTTGGAAGCAGTAAGGGCTGTGGAATTCAGCGTGGAACACAGCGTGACATTGATCCTACTTTACCCAATGATCCTAGTTCGTTGCGGAATGGACTTCTCATCTCACCTGAACCAAGGTACTCTCAAACCCCTTCTCACCCTAACCCCAGTGATGAGATCCCAACAATCTCAACACAGAGGAAGAGATGTGATGCAACCCCAGGGCAGGGAAAAGCATCAACAAGCACCAGCCCTCCAACAATGAACCCTCTAATGAATTTCATAATATGGAATGTTAGAGGGGCAAACAGTGCAGAGTTTAAGAGGCACTGCTCAGAAATGGTCAAAATGCATAAGCCTATGATGTTGGTTCTCCTGGAGACCAAAATGGCAGACCACAAAAAGCTTACTGAGGAGCTATAATTCGACATGCACATTCAGTTCCCTGCTGTTGGCCACTCTGGAGGTATAGTGATTATGTGGAGGGATACTTCCCTCCAAGTTGATGAGGTAGTTGTCAACTCTCAAGGTATCCATGCCATGGTCAAGGTATTACCCTCAAGCCCACCCTGGTTTTTTTTGGCAATCTATGCCGGTAACCACATTGAGGATAGAAGGAGATTCTGGGATAGTCTAGTTGATATCTCCAAAACACACAGAGGAAGTTGGTTTGTGGGTGGGGACTTCAATGAAGTCCTTAAAGCAGAAGACAAATTTGGGGGAAACCCTATGAACACCCACAGAAGCAACTCTTTCTGGAATTGTATTAACAACTGTCAAATTGTAGACCTAGGGTTTAAAGGTAGTAAGTATACTTGGTCTAACAAGAGGTACAAAAATAGAACCTATCTAATACTAGAAAGAATTGACATATGTCTTTTTTTAATAACCATTGGATAAATGAGTACCCTGAAGCAAATATAACTCACCTACCCAGGACCCAGTCTGATCACTGCCCCATGCTTGTCAATCTAAGCAATAACAGTCCTAGTCCTCTGAATAAACCCTTCAGGTTTGAATCAATGTGGTGCAGCCACCCTCTATTAAAACCTAGGTAGGGATTGTTTCAAGCCTGACTCTACTTTAATCCCTTCCACCACCCTGTTCAAGCTTAATTCTCTCAATTGGAATAGGCATACCTTTGGGAACATCTTCCACAAAAAAAAAGAGGCTGCTAGCAAGAATAGCAGGAATCCAAAAATCCTCCCTCTATCCCACCAGTACCTCAATGCAAATCCTTTAAAGCAATCTTATTGAGGAGCTCAACTCTATCTTGAAAAATGAAGAGGACTTTTGGAAGATGAAGTCCAGAATCCAATGACTCTCAGATGGAGATGCCAACACAAAATTCATTCATACCTCCACTTTAAATAGAAGAAGAAGGAATAAAATCCTTTCCCTCCAAAATGACTCTGGTTAGTGGATGCTGGGGGATGGGGAGATCAAGCAAGCAATCTCAAAGTTCTTCAAAGAACTCTATACCTCCTCCCTACCCCAGTCTTAGAATGGCTTATCCTCCACTGAAATTCAGGGTCATCGCCTCTCTCAGATTCAACAATTAATAATTGGGATGCCTCCAAGGGATAGTGAAATTAAGAATGTCATTTTCTCTTTCAAGCCTTTCAAAGCTCTTGGGTCAGATGGTCTTCACCCTTTCTTCTACCAAAAATACTGGGACATAGTGGGTAAGGATGTCATCTACTTCTGCAAAAACTATTTCTCCACATCAACTATGGACCCAGTCATGAATGAAACCCTTCTGTGCCTCATTCCAAAATGCCCTCAAGCCACAATGATCAAAAATTTCAGACCCATAGGCTTATGTAATACTGTCTACAAGACAGTAACAAAAATCATTGTCAATAAAATCAAGCCTTACCTCCCACAAATCATTGGGCCTAGTCAGGCCAGCTTCCTCTCCAACAGAAAAGCTTCAGACAATGCCATCATAGTCCAAGAATACATCTCTCACTTTGGGAAAATGAGGGGAAAATCAGGTAGCATGATAGTAAAGATTGACCTGGAGAAGGCTTTTGACAGATTAGAATGGTCTTTCATTAAGCAAACCCTCCATGCCCCTTCAAATTCCCAAACACAATCATCAACCTCATCATGTCATATGTAAGCTCCTCCTCAATCTCTGTAATTGTCAATGAAGAGCAAACCACACCTTTCATGCCCACAAGGGGCATTAGGCAGGGACATCCCCTATCCCCTTACCTGTTCATAATGTGTATGGAAAGACTTTCCAGAGACATTGACAATAATGTCCTTCAGGGGGAATGGCACCCCATCAGCAACAGCAGAAGTGGCCCCGAAAATATCTCATCTCTTCTTTGCTGATGATCTAACTCTTTTTGCAACAGCTAACCAATCAAGTTGCAATACAATCATCAATACTCTCAATTCTTTCAATCTAGCATCTGGCCAAAAGATCAATCTCACTAAGTCAAAAGTATGCTTCAGTGCTGACTGCCAACCTCATCAAATGGAGCTCATTTCAAACACCCTCTCCATAAAAGCCTCAGTAAACTTTGGAAAGTATCTGGGGTTCCCAATCTTCCACAAAAGACCCACTTGTAGTGACTTTCAGTTCATTATTGACAATCTCCACTCAAAAATGGCTGGGTGGAAAACAAGCATGCTTAACATGACTGGGAGGACCACACTAGCAAAAGCATCCCTAAACTCAATCCCAAAATCATGTCATGCAATACATCAAGTTGCCAGCAAAAACAACCAAAGAGATTGATAAAGTTCAGAGGAACTTCATCTGGGGCACTACTGCCACTAATAGAAATGCACTTGGTTTCTTGGGACACAGTCACAAAGCCTAAGGATAAGGGGGCTGGGAATCCAGAAAGCTGAGTTGAAAAATAAAGCCCAGCACTCAGGCCTTGCTTGGAGGCTATACCAGAATCCCATAACTCTTTGGGCAAAAACTCTAATTGCAAAACACTGCAATTGGAGGAAACCTCCCAAAAAAGCTAAGTCCCACACCTGGCAATGCATCCTAAAAGGATGGGAAACATGCATGAAAGCAAAAAGATGGGTAGTGCATTCAGGGAACAGAGTTAAATTTTTCAATGACCCTTGGATAAACAACCTCCCTGCTATAAGGTCTGTAATTCATGGTCCTCTGACAAGAGAAGACTTGTCCAAAACAGTTGCAAATACTCACCAAAATGGAACTTGGGATCTCTCCACTCTCTCTATCACCATCCCCCAAAATATCCAAAATTCCATCTATAACACCTTCATTCTACCCAACCCAGTCAAGGAAGACAGAATGATCTGGGGAGCTGCACCAAATGGTCTTTACTCCACAAAATCTGCCTACTCAATATTGGACCAAGGGCAGGAAACCATGATCTATAATTTTGCATGGATTTGGAAACTGAAAGTTCCCAAAAATATCAAATCCTTCTTCTGGTTACTTTTCCATGAAAGGCTACCCACTGGAGCCTATCTCCACCATGTTGGGGTACAAACAGACCCCATATGCCATCTGTGCAGCCAGGCAAATGAAACATCAGCACACATTTTCTTTGAATGTACTAATTCAAAAATCTTCTGGCAAGACATCATCTCCCTTAACACAAAACCAGTGCTCCTGTTCCTACTTTCACCACCAGAGATTGGCCAACCACTTGGGCGTCTCGTAAGAAGAAAGCTTTTAACAACATCATTGCTTGGGAAGAGCTCCTCCTTTTCTGTTTTTGGCAAATACGGCTAACAAGGAATAACAACTTTTTCAATAATAAAAAAGACAGGGCAGATTCAAAATGTGCAATTGCTAAGGCCACTGAATATGTTACAATGATGCTGGATAAAGAAACCATAAACAAAAAGGTTCTCAGGGTAAAATGGGAACCACCAAACAACAACTCCTATAAGCTTAACACTGATGGAGCTGCAACTGGGAATCCTGGAAGGGGAGGGCTGGGAGGAGTCTTCAGAAATGCAAGTGGAAACTGGATTTTGGGCTACATGGGCTCAATCCAATACACAACTAACACACAAGCAAAATTACTAGCACTCCCAAAAGGACTGCAAATAGCAGAAGAAAGACAGCTCACACCTTTGGAAATAAACATTGATTCAACAGAGGTAATTAGAATGCTAATCAATGGAAACCTACATTTTGACTCACTTATTTGTGAATGCAGGTCAATCGTCCAAAGACTAGGCGTCGTAGTGGTGAAGCACAACTACAGGGAGACCAACAAAGTTGTTGACATGCTGGCGAAGGAAGGCACAAGGAAAAAAATTTTGAAGATATTTTTGTAACGACAGTTCCTCAGGTGATTGTCAATCATGTACTTTGGGCAGACATCACAGGAACTGTGTTTGAAAGGAAAATAACGGATTGTAATATTACTAACAATAGCCTGGTAGAGGGGGGTCTCATGTACCCACCCATAAACACTCATTTTGTACACCCTGATGGGTAGTTTGTTTTAGTTATAATATGCATCCGCTTAACCAAAAAAAAAAAACATGTTAATATAGTACAAAAGCACCTAATTCTACCCGCATAATTAAATGGTTAAAGAATTTAAAACTTACGATTGTTATCTTTATTTTCTTATTGCAAGGTAAATTATCATTTCAATATATAACGGAATTAAGCTAAATGTGTTTGCATTTACGGTATGATTAAAAATTAATATGGGAGGTTGATAATAGGTGAATTAGACTATAATTAGACCCTAAAGAACCACATTTTTGTATAGCTTTGTTGTAAAAAATGATAACCAAATGCTCTGATTAGTGCTTTTCATGCTTTGCAGGCTATATCCAACGAAAGAAGTCGATAGAGCAAGTTTGGGATCAATTACGGAGAAAAGGAGGCCAATCAAACAATGCCCAAGAAATGCACCAAGTGAAAAGTCAAAGGAAGGCAGAAGTTGGCCTGTCGCGGTCAGACTGTAACCGCGGTAGGACCGCGGCAGAGTAGAGATGAAGATTCAGAGACCACTTTTGGCCCCGGTCCCGGCGTAACCACGGTGGGACCGCGGCAGAATGCGAACTAGCCAGGGGCAGGATTGTCAATTCAGGAAAAAATTTGTGTAAAACCCTTATAAAATGTAGGATTTCGGCTACATTAGGTCAGATTTGTTTAGAGAGTACTTTGGGCAAGAAACACAAGTGTGAGAGATCACCCAAAACATCATACTTCTTTATTTCTTCTTTTCTTGCAATTTTCCATGACAAATATTTTCGTAGTTTATCTTTACGCTGTTATGAGTAGCTAAATACTTTAGTCTAAGGTTTTGATGGAACCTATTGAAGGATGAACTTCTTGATTATGTTCATATAGTTGCCGGTCAATCTCTATTTGTTCAATTACGTGTTTATTGTAGTTAATTGACAGGATCCTCAATTAGCTGTGCCTATTTAGTGTGCATAACTCGGGAAAGAGTGCATATTTAGGTAATTATTGAACAACACCACTCCCAAAGTATAAGAGGGATCTATAATTGCGGGTTTAAAGGCGGGATTAGGGATAACGAAGCCTTGGGTGTGATCTAAAGTGAGCTGTAATAATCAAAGCCAGCTAGCGTAGCTCGGGAGAGTGCGTCTAGTAAGTTATCGCAATTACTCGAGAGAGATTTACGGTAAAAAGAGTTCTCATGATTGATAGAGATATTTTGGTGAATCTATATGCAACATAACTGGAAGGGATTCCATCAATAGGGGAAATCACTACCTTAGAACCTTCTCATTATTGTTTTCAACCCAAGAATATTTAGTTTACAGCTGTTAGTTATTTACTTTCAATCTTAGTTAGTAGAAATACCATCCAATATTGTTTACAAAGTTTCGGAAATTGATTATAAAGGATTTAGTGATTCCAACAAAGGTAATTGATAGGTTAATTCTCTATGGGATTCGACTCCGGACTTGTAAACCGGATTATATTTGCAACGACCGCATTGTCCTTTTTATAAGGCATAGTTGGGCGTGATCAAATTTTGGCGCCGTTGCCGGAGAATTAACGGTGTTATCAATTACAATTGAAAGAAGTACAAAAATTCTTAGTGTAGTCAGTTTTCTCTATACCCAATTTTTACTTTGAAATTTTAACGTTTGTTGACTCGGTTACACAGGTGCTTGCCTAGAAACTCATCGAGATCTGGTGAAGTATTAGAAGCATTATCAGATCCCGAGAAATTTTTCAGGGCTTTGAATTGGGCCAACCGACAAAACAAACAACAACCAACAACTGCACAATTCGAAACAAACATGGGAGATAACCAGGAAAACCCAGCAGCACCAATAGCACCAGCACCAGAGGCTGCTCTCTATGACTGGGCACAACCCACAGCTGAGAATCTATCCACAGCGATAGTAGCCCCGCAGATACAGGCTGAGTCATTCCAAATCACGAATAACATGCTGCACTTGTTGCAGAATAAGGGACTATTTTCGGGGTCACAAGTTGAAAATCCTCAGCAGCACTTAAAGAATTTCCTGTCTATCTGCAAAACCCAAAGGCAACCCAATGTAACTCCGGAAGTAATCAAACTGTTATTGTTTCCATTCTCAGTGATAGGAGCTGCCCAGACTTGGCTGAATTCACTACCCATAAATTCTATAGCAACGTGGGATGAGTTGGTCAAGCAATTTCACAACAAGTTCCATCCCCCCAACAAAACTACTCAACAAATTGATGAGATTTTGAGCTTTAAACAGAGACCGATGGAGACTTTGCATGAAACATGGGAGCGTTTTAAAGGGATGCTGGTCATATGTCCACACCATGGTGTTCCAGATCTAATGTTGGGGCAGCGGTTCTACATGGGATTGTCAGATAGCGTAAAGAACATTGTTGATACTTCAGTTGGTGGGGCATTCTTGAGAAAAACATGGAGAGAGGGCCAGAGTTTGCTTGACAAGATGGCACAGAATTCGGGCTGGGTAACCAAAGGTGCACCCATCACTCCAGTGGTGCACTCAGTGCCTTTAGATCCATCCAATTCTATGGCTGAAAACATGGCCACCTTATTGACACAGATAAGCATACTCACCAAAAAGGTGGAAGAGTCAGGGCAGAAACAGCAGGTACATATTGTTGATACTACTAATGGGGGCTTGTGCGCATCTTGCATTAGTCAGCCAGTTGGTAATCAGTGGAATGCAGAACACAATCATCATCACTACCCTGAAGACATGAACTATGTGTCTAATTATGGCGGCCAGAGACAGGGTGGTCAGAATTGGGGTCAACAAAATCAGCAGTACAGGCCAGCACAGTCATAGTTCAACACCGGGAACATGGGAGGTATGAGACCCCCCAACAATATGGCACCTTACCCACGACCACAGGGATACAACAATCAGAATCAGCAGCAAGGGTACCACCCACCTCAGCAGCAGCATGGTGGAAGGCAGGAAGATGGGTTTACTAGACTTGAAGCAATGATGCAGCAGGTTATTGGGTCTAATGCAAAAATTAATGAGAGAGTCGATACACATGATGCAGCAATCAAAAATATTGAGGTACAGGTGGGCCAGATTTCGATCTCTCTGAACAATCGTCCTCATGGGACACTACCTGCAGACACTCAGATAAATCCAAAAGATCAGGGACCGAAGCAGCTGATGGCGGTGAGTCTACGTAATGGCAAAGATCTGGATGAAGAGCAAGAAAGGGCTCGAGAAGCTAGATAGGCTGAGACACTCATACCAGTGCCCATCGAGCTGGATGAATCAACGAAACTGATAGAGGTGACAGTCCAGCCTGCTCAAGAAGAAAATAACCTGCAGAATGAGACCGAGAAGGAAGCTGAAACTGTCCAAGAGCCAGTAGTTGATGTAGCAGCTGAGAAAGATCAGTCCCAAGTGATCGAGAAGAAGAGACCCCCTGCACCCTTCCCCCAAAGGCTGGCTAAGTACAAAAAGGAGGAGCAATACAAGAAGTTCTTTGACATGCTGAAGCAAATTCAGGTAAATATACCATTGATTGAAGCTTTGAAGGAGATGCCTGGGTATGCAAAAATGATGAAGGACTTGATGTCCCGAAAGTTTGATTTTCAAGACTTGGCCACATTTACTCTTACTCAGACCTGTAGTGCAGTGGTGACTAGACCAATTGCGGAAAAGCTGTCTGATCCAGGGAGCTTTACAATTCCATGCACTATTGGTAATTTTGTTTTTGCTAAGGCACTGTGTGATCTAGGGGCCAGCATCAATCTTATGCCCCTAGCAATTTATAAGAGGTTGGGCATTGGAAGAGCTAGACCCACCTCTATGTTGTTGCAGCTTGCTGACAGGACTGTGAAACGACCCTTTGGAATCCTAGATGATGTGTTGATTCAGGTAGGGAAATTTGTGTTCCCTGCAGATTTTGTGATCCTAGACTGTAAGGTGGATGAAGAAATTCCCATAATTTTGGGAAGACCGTTCCTGGCCACGGGGAGAGCTTTAATTGATTGTGAGACTGGGGAGCTAAAGATGAGACTAAACGATGATGAAATAACATTCAATGTGCAGAAATCTATGATGCGACCAAGTGAATTCGCCAATTGCTCTCTAATTGATGTCGTGGATGTGATTGTAGAGACTAATGATGAAAGGCTGACTATTGAGGACCCCCTTGCTGCATGTCTAATGAATTTGGATGAGGTAAATGGAGAGGATCTGGCGGAATGGGTGTTGGCGTTAGAGGGTAGAGGGTTCTGGGATAGGACCCTCGAGTTTGAACCATTGCACTTGGAAAACCGAGAAACTCCTCTAGCCAAGCCATCCATCGAAGAACCACCAAAGCTGGAATTAAAACCATTGCCCGCCCATCTCAGGTATGAATTTCTTGGACCCAACTCCAAATTACCTGTTATTATCTCATCTAGTTTGTTAGATGTGCAGGCTCAACAACTATTGCAGGTACTTAAGGAGTGCAAGACTGCCAGTGGGTGGACCATGGCAGACATAAAAGGGATCAGCACCGCCTACTGTATGCACAAAATTCTACTGGAAGAGGGACACAAACCTTCCAGGGAACACCAAAGAAGGCTGAACCCCAATATGAAGGAAGTGGTGAAGAAAGAAGTAATCAAGTGGTTAGATGCGGGAATCATTTTCCCAATCTCTGACAGCAGCTGGGTTAGCCCAGTTCAATGTGTTCCTGAAAAGGGTGGCATGACGATAGTCAAGAATGATAAGAATGAATTGATCTCTACAAGAACCGTCACGGGCTGGAGAATTTGCATGGACTATCGAAAGTTAAATCTAGCCACCCGGAAGGACCACTTCCCACTTCCCTTCATTGACCAGATGTTAGACAGATTGGTAGGGAGGTCACATTTCTGTTTTCTGGATGGGTACTCCGAGTACAATCAGATCTCCATTGCACCGGAGGACAGAGAGAAGACCTCGTTCACTTGCCCGTATGGAATTTATGCCTTTCAGAGGATGCCCTTTGGCCTATGGAACGCACCCACCACATTCCAACGGTGCATGATGGCCATATTCACT